AGCCCCCAGCAAGAGTCTCTCCTTTACTTCACCATCAGGATCTGCAGCACTCACAGAACCCACAGAGGCACTCCCTAAAGCCCATCTGGGTCCAGCAGGGGCAGGGGGTGCTTCCTGCTGCCCTACTCGCCCCATCAGAGAGCTAGCCGGGGCTGAGGAATCTGGGACAAGGATTTGGGGTGAGGACGCAGCACTCTGGAGCCTGGATTAAAACTGAAACTGTTTTCCCAGCCTTGAGTCAGCTCCCTCATTACCTCCTTGGACGCCGCCTCTCCCCCAAACAAGGCAGGCAGTGTGACTTTCTGCCGCTCCCCGAGTCCCCTCGAGATCCAGGGGAGTGACCCCCGCAGCTGACTGTACCTCTGCCGGGCAGGGGAAGCAGGGGGCTTCAGATTAGCAGAGTGGCAAAGGATGAATTGGTATGTAAAGTCTAGTGAAGCCCTGAGTACCCATAAATTTTACTTCATAAAATTTTGAATAGACAAAAACGGCTAATGGGGCTGGGAGGATATGAAGATGTATAGATACTAACACCATAAAAGAACAGCAAAGTTAAATTTTGCAATTAATGCTCAGTTACGTTTGTCAATCAAAACAGCACAACATGCACAGGAACATATCAATAAGAAAATTTTTCTGACATTGTTTCTCTTCTATAAACACTTAACAGATGCTGTAAGGCCTGACTTTGAAGGTGCACATTCCTTCAAACCTCATAAAATTGCTTACATTTGTTGTGCATAAAGCTTTGAGACACTGAAGTGTTAGAGGTTAATGACTCAACTGGCCACTTGAAAAAGCAGCAGGTGCTTTGCTGAGGCCAGGTCTGCACTCCCAGCCAAAGAGGAGGAGGTGTCTGTTGGTGAAACCTTGATCCAGTATGACACAGGAGATAGATACCCACCATGGGTATCTATCTCCTTTAGCAACCCACCATGGGTATCTTGTAGGAGGGGACTTAGGAGACAGTCCCCCTGAACTACCTTGGGAGGTGACAAGTGTGTAGTTTCCCGCCTCCCCTGTTGTCAGTCTTTTGTTATACCTTCCCCCCTTTCTTGTCCATCATTATGTGAGCCATTCCCCAGTTCTGGAAAGTTCTTCATTCCCTGTATCCCCATTGGTTCCTTCCCTGAAACCACTCCTTCCCTTTACCCTCATTGGCTGTAGCCCTATCACCTGACCTTGACTCCGCCTCTGAACCCTTCCCTCATTGGATGTTTCCTACCCAGACCCTCCTCCTATGTCACTGTTATAATCCTTACCCCGCCCTCAGTTCGGGGCTCTCAGTGCGAGCTCCCATCCAGAGTGGTTGTCTCCATTTCGCTCCCCAACCTGCCTTTTCCTATAAGAAACCCTCTTGGAAATCAAGCTGCCTGAGAGTCATCCCACCTGCTAAGAGGAAGCCATTATTAGGCTATCCCGCTCCTGTGGACCCGACTCTGTGGCGTGCCCAGAGGTCAGAGGACCCAGGTGCCTCAGTATCCATCTCCTTAGCCTTTGTTTAGCAACAAGCTGTTTTCTGAGTTGGGTGAGGCTAACAATAATCAGATCCTGTGAGGTGGGATAATGCTTTTTTTTATCTTGCCAATTTCCTCCTTTACAGAACTGGCTCAAGTGTAAAAGATGCACAAACAAGTCATTCAGTGTCATTCCACCCTAATGTGCCCCAAAGGAATCTCTTAAAAAGAACCTGTTACTTGGCCTTCAGGAGTGGGTTGCAGCAAAAGCTATGAATTATTTCAAATTCCTGTATTTAAGATTTCTTTCTATCACATTAAAAATACTTTAATACTCAGTTACTCACCTCTTTTAACATGGCTTTAAATAAAGATCTCCCTGTTCTTACAGCTCCAGCTTTCTTTGACGGCCCATAGCGCATCTCATTCCTCTTGCTCATGGTGTCTGCTTTCAGCCTGGGGGCCTCTCCCTCCATGACAAACACTAGTTTAATTCCCATTGATGTAAAGAAAGAGAACCGAAAAAACAGGTTTCTGCAATAAAGCAAAGTGTTTCATAAGCTGAACTATTTGTAAGACTGATTTCTTCAGACCTTTTCCATATATCCCTTAAATTTTCCTGACCCTACCACTGGAAAGATCGTAGCATTGTCTTTACCTCTAGTGAATCTCTCACCCTCAGGCTAAACCAACCTCTGATCTATATTCCTGTCTTTGGCTGAAACTGTCATATTATGAAATTGTAGCAGCTTTACAAAATTCCCATGAAAATACCACATAAGGACAGAAAATATCTTTTTTGGGTGTAAAGATGTAGGTGAACTTAAAAGGCTTAATAAAAATATATTCAATATCCAAAATCTACCTCCAAACACATAATTACATTGATTCTTTTATATCAAATATTAACCTCAAATCTATCAATATAGGTATATATCAGGTGACTGAATGCTGTAGTATTGGACAGACTTCTAGATACCATTACTATGCCAATTTATTTCATATGCAAACCAGCACCACTGAGGGGTGGAGTTTTACAAGGCTGCAATAATAAATATTTGGACTACTACAGTAAAATTAGCAGCAGTCATATCAAACAGCATATGCCTTTACCAGTAATTCCAGTATCAATCTTTCAAAAGGAGTAGATCAAACACTTATACCTCTTTGACAGACATGGAGAGACCATTACATTAGATTTAATTTTGTACAGTTATTACTAGCAAAAAACAGTAAGCTGGTCTTTGGAAGTTAGTTCTATTTTCACAAATTATGTAAAAAAATCAACAATTGTTGGTAACAACAATCACTGATGATAATTTGTATATGTTTTCGTTACTGTTAGCACTGTTTGCAGAGAACAGTGCTTTGAAATGATAGATGCTTAGAAATTCTCATTCCTTAGACAAGTAATTTAAATTAAAAATATATACATATTCCTCAAGTTTGTTCAAATACCTGAAGAATGATTTAAACATAATTAATGCAACAGGGGGGTCTACTTAGAACTAACTTCAAACCCTTTACAAATGTAGCATAAGTGATAACTGAATCAAAACACCAGTCATATGAATTTCAGAGATACTCTTAGAAGTCTATTGAATAAGTAACATATTTAAATTATACAGCTCCAAGACGTTTGCCTCGAATAATTGATATGGATACCTGAGATGTGGCTTGGTAACTACTCCAACCATCTTTTTAACAGTCTGTGCTTCACAAACCCACAAACTTAAATCAACAGCAAGTGTTTTCCCTCTGAGACTACTCATGTTGACAGGTTGTCTCACAGGTTCAAGGATTTGCCACAGGTAAGTCACTCCCATTGTTTTCACTTCCTTGTTATCAGAAGGTAGATTTTAACTGTGAAGAACAAACAAAATAAAACAGTTTCAGCATGTGACATTAAGTGAAGCATTATGACTGTGAGGTTCAGAAGATAAATATATTTGTCACTGTAAGTTCTACTTTTATGAGGCAAGAACACTTACAACCAACTCTTCTAAGCATAGTGACTCTAGTTCACAGATGGTTTATAATAAAATAAACCAAATACCTTCTTTGAACAGAACAATTGTATTTTTCATAAGCTCAACAATAAATCAGACTAGATGACCTACCAGTGCTCAGATATCTGCTTAAGACATGTGAGGAGCTAAGCCACTGTGTGGTCTCACATTTAACACCAGAGTCTGTCAGAACACCAAGCCTGCCTTTGGAGGATGCATTCTTTTATACTCTAATTCTGTTTTTAAAGCAAGGCTTTTAAATTCCAGGTTTTCAAACCAACTTCTCATGTTAAGATTAACTTTCCACAGAAATTAGGTTTCTAATCCATTTCTTTAACTACTACAATGAGTGAACCTCATTTTAGGTGTATGCAGACAGAGTATTGACAGTGTCAAGCACATAAAAATTAGTTAAAAATACACATCAAGCATACAACTACATAGTACAGTTTCTTCAAGTCCAGGATAATCAGTTTCTTTCTTTTGGATGTTGCACAGGGGCAACATCCAAACCTTCCCAAAAGACAAACATAATAATTCATCTTCAGTGAGAGAGCACCTAACAAAGAAGGGAGATGTCTTTCTGGTGTTATAATTTGGTTTCTGCTAGCCTGCATCAATATAATTTCTTAAAAAAACAACTATCAGTCAGTTTCTAAACATTGTTATGGAGTGTCACATAGTAATTAATGGGAAATACAAATACACTACAAACACCCTATAACTGGTTAGATTACAAGTAGTAACAAAAAAGCATAAAAATTGAAATGTAAAAAAAAAAAAAGGTCGACTTTTCCACTTTAATAAAGTATAGCTATTTGAGGATTTAAGTTTTTCACATCACATTGAAGATATATCTAATGGTGAGTTATGAAAGCCTGCAAGACTAGTACGAGTCTTTGGTTTCTTTGAGTGTATTTCATAAAATATTTAAATTTGAATTCAGTGTACAAATAGCTCAACTACTCTTAAAATGAATTATCTGTCTACTCGGATTTTATTTAACAGCTTCGTTCATCACAAGCCTCCAACCCTAAAGAGATAGCAACTTCCAAAGAAGCAAGACTAAACTTGATATATTTTCATATACTTAGAAATCACTGAAGATCGTTAACAGTAAACATAACCATCCCCAACAAAATCTTCTTAATGTCTCTTTAGGCCAGAATGTGCTAAACCTATAAAGCTTTCATGTCTTATTTAGTCTTCAAGACTACATTCTACTCTACTAAGTTTTTTTTACACCGCTAAATATGCCAGTTACTTAAAAATGTCCACGGAAAGCATTTAACGCTGAAATTAAATTCATACAGAGATAGTTTCACATATGACCAAGGTAACTTGCAAAGACAGCTAAGCATTATTTTATGTCTCACCCAGGGGCCTTTAAAAAGGAGGAAAAAGACGGCAGAGGAAACACGAAAGCCCTGACGTTTTTAACAACTCACCCCTCTCTGAACCCGAGCACAGCTTTGCCCATAAACCTGCGCACCCGAAGGCCAGCAGCGGCGCTCCAGCATCTGCAGATCCCTCCTCAAGCGCCCACGGCTCTTCCCGCGGGATGCGCGCAGCCCGAGCCGCCCGGGCGCTCCGCGCGCGCAGCGTTTGAATCTCCCGCCTCGCTGCGCCGGCGCTCCCCGCGCACCGCGCCCACAGGAACGGGCGTGCCCGAGCTGCCTGGGCCGCTCCGCCTGGGCGCGGGCCGGGCCCGCCCCCGCGGGGAGCAGCGGGAGCGCCCGGCCCCGTGAGGGCCCCGCGGGAGCCCCGTGAGGGCCCCGCCGCGCGCGCTCCGCCCGGCCCCGTGAGGGCCCCGCCGCGCGCGCTCCGCGCGGCCCCCGCGCGGCGAGCGCCCCGCCCCCACACCCGAAAATGGCGCGCGCACGGAAACGGGCCCCGCGGGACGCGGAGCGCGCAGGCGCCGCACTCGCGGCGGCCGCTCTTCCGCCCGCTCCGGCCCGTCCCGCCCCGTCCGCCCCGCCGCGCCGGGATCGGGAGCTGTCCCAGGTAACGGGGCGCGGAGCGGCGAGGGGCGAAGGGAGCGGAGACAAGGGACGGGCGACCCGTGCCGGGCTAAGATCCTGGCGGGCGCTGTCCGGGCGCGTCGCGCTCTCTGGACAGCTGGGAGGGAGGGAGGGAGGGAAGGCAGGGCGGCCTGGCGGCCGCAGGGCGGGACAACGGCTGCCCCCGCTCCTCCCATGCTCCCCGCTCCTCCCGTGCTCCCGTCTCCCCGTGCCCCCGCTCCCCCCGCTCCTCCCGCTGCCCCCGTGCCCCCGGCTCCTCCCGTGCCCCGTGCCCCGGCCTGGCGCCGCGGTTCTGTCGCAGGTGGCTCAGCGAGGCCAGTTAGCGGCCGGAGCTGGCGTTTGTCACCCGCTGCCCCGTGGTGTGAGCGCTCCCTCGGGCGCCCATCTCGCACGGCGGCCGCACGGGCGTTCCAGCCGCCAAGGGTCCCGTGGCTCTTTGCCACGGTGAACGAGCCTTCCGGGCCGTTCGGTGTTGGGAAGAGCAACAGGTAGTGGTGGACTTGAGGGAATTTCTGCCCCGCTTTCCTTTTCGCTGTCTGTAGAAGAGGCAGAGCTGCCCTCGGTGCCGCAGTGCACTTCTGGGCTTCTCAGTACAAGAGAGATGGAGGTCCAGTGGAGGGCTGTGAAAGATGATTAATGGACGGAAGCATCTCTCTTATGAGGAGAAGGCTGACAGAGTTGGGCCTGTTCAACTTCGAGAAAAGATTGCTGAGAGGGGACCTCAATCTGTATAAATGTCTAAAGGGAGGGTGTCAAGAGGAAGGACCAGGCGCTCCTTGGGGGTACCGAACAATAAAACTGGTGGCAACAGGCAGAAACTGATGTGCAGGACGTGCCACTCGAACACGAGAAGGAATATCTTTACTGTGCAGGTGAACACGAACTGATCACTCAGAGAGTCTGTGGAGTCTCCCTTACTGGAGATACTCAGAAACTGTCTGGACATAATCCTGTGCTATGTGCTCCAGGATGACCCTGCTTAAGCAGGGAGGTTGGACCAGATGACCCATTATGTCCCTTCAACCTTACCCATTCTGTGATTCTGTGAGTCAGGCAGTGCTTCCTTAGCATTTGATGGGATGGTATAGGCTTCTTATGCACTGGCTGCAAATGTATTAGGAGAGGAGTTGTCAACATCAGACATACAGTCTAACATGGAACATCTGCCTCAGATAGTCCCAAAAATGTAAAGCACTCCACTGCTGTGTCTTGAAGACTGGACTTCTGACTTCAGCCCTCTGAAATAATACCTCCTTTTAAGTACAACAGGTAGTGTTGTACTTCTTCATTATTATTAACTGTTAGTGTTAATTTGGAATTTTATTGCTGTTTTTGTGACTGTTAAATGTAGTGCGCTATACATCAGCTAAAGACCTCAAGTATTTTCTTCCTCTCCTTACCATATCTTGTGTTCATCCTGCCTTAGGTCTGCTCAGATGTCTTTGCTTTATCTCTGTTTTACCAGCTGGGTGAAAGGCAGGGTTATAGCTGAGCTGCGTCCAGAGTGTTTAAAGTGGATGTCCCACAAGACAGATGGGACACCTTCCTACCTTATGTGGATACCAGGCCAGTGGAGGCTGCTAGAAAGCCCATGATGTGGCCTTGGTGACAGCGGGTTGGTTGTGTCAGCCCTGTATGAGCCAAGCTGTGACCAGCCAGGCAGGGAAAAGGGAAACAGTTGTGGAACTCCATAGCAGTGTATACTGTGGAAAGACAGGCCATTGATTGAGTTGGAACATGGGTGATTATCAATGGATGCAGCTTCTGCCTTCCTATCCTTTGATGTGTGCAGGGTAAGTACTTTCCTAACATATTGTTTTATACAGGACATTTGGGACTTGCATTTTTCTTTTATGGTCTCATTATATGCATAGCAATTGCTTGCTGTAATTTGTAGTGATCTGTTGATTGTTTTTATAATTGAATCTGTCTTGCCTGCTCCCAATTATAGATCCAGTTTTTATTCCTAACTGTATACTCTTAAAGTTCCATGATAGTGAAGTTTAAGTTTTATTAAATCGCTATTCTTGATTTCTCTTCCTGAATGACTGTTGGATTCTTGTTTAAATTATTAACTTGACTTTGTCATCACAAGTTTCCATTAACATAATCTTACTTTATGTTGTAATATACTAAAGTATATTTTATACTTCAGATTTTAGGAACGATACCTGATGCATTAAAAAATCCTTTTGTTAACATTTGTCAATAATGTCCTTTGTTGGCTTCTCAGTAGTCTGTTATATATTTTTAAATGTACTGATGTATTTTTTTGCCAGTTTAATTGTTTCCAGTATCGTATTGCATACTTTAATAACCTTCAGATAGCTTGGATCAGCTGCTTTTCCTTTGCCTTGAATAGTAATTCCCAAACTGTTGTTAAAGTTAGGGTAAGTAGTGCTGAGACTGAAACCAATAGTTTTTTCAATTAAAAACTTAATGTATAAAATTAGGGGTGCTTTGGTGCAAGAGTTTTGGGAGCAATTAATGTAAAAAAAATCTTTTCCTGTCAAAAATATCAAGATGACATGGAGATAAAATTCAAACATGTCATCTTCTGTGTATTTATTTTTTAAAATGTTGGTTATTTCTTCCTGTGCCTTTTAAAACCTTGTTTCTTGTAAAATCTCAGTAATGCGTTCCTTGTGGTTGTGGTTGGTTTCTTGCTCCTTTTGGGTTTTTTGTACTCAGGGAAGGTTCTGCATCCACCGATAGTTGTCATAATTTTTGATGCTGAGTTTGCTTGTAGTTCCAGTTAAATTTTGTTTTCAGTACTAGCTCTTCAACAGTTTTGAGGTGCTGACAGTTCTGGTTTTTGCCTTCCTCATAGTTAGATTACATGAGAATATTTTGTTCTGTTATCCTCTCTTACACTCTCTTTTCCTTAAATGTTCAGATTGTATAACAATGGAACTCATAGCCCTCATCTTCAGTTTGGATCTTATTAATTACAACATTTAAAGCTTATGTTTCCCCTTCTTTTTAGAGGAAGATTTTAATAGAACAGCAGATTCCATGAATACTTGTCTTCATATTTGGATGATGGATGCAAAGAGCTTGCAAGTGACTGTTTCCTGGTCTGAGTAATTTGAGCATGAAGCCATGTTTTTGTAGTAAACCCAGAGTAGCATAGCAAAAGATATGTAAGCCGAATAATGAAGTGTATTTGCTCCTTGAGTTCCTTGTGTGTTGTATTAAACTACATAACATAAAGTGGATATGGTAGTTTTGCTGTAAATTCTTAATAGGAATCATCATTATAATAATAATAGTAATAAAAATGATCAGTAATAAGCATAATCATCCTTCTTCTTTTCCTTCTGTAATATTTGATAAAGAAATCCCTACCATACAAAGTTGTTGCTGGAGTGTCAGCTGGGAAGTTTATTGCATTTCTGCATTTTCTTTGAATTTTGTACATTCCACATGATGGAAAGGGATTAATACTGTTTTTTCTTTATCTTTTAGATGTTATGCCACTGAAAATTAATAAGGGGATTATAAGACACTGTATTTTTGTTTTGGTTTGACAAGACAGGAGTCTGTGAAGGAGGGCAAAAGCCTCCTGTGCAATGGAGAAGGTAAACCCCTCCCCTCCCTCCGAATTACCAGGATTTTTAAATTAAAAGGCTCTCAGGCAAAGATATGGGAATGGGAGTAACAATTCTTTACTAGGAGAAAACTAGATAACAATTTAAAAAGGCAAATGCAATTGGTACAAACAAAAC